TGTGATAATAACCGGTATACATCACTTGGGTTAACGTTTTAGTTGATAAGTTAAAATTTTGGTGTCATCATGTGATTTGGGTGTGATAATCATCTGACATGGGTGTGATAATCACTGTTATACATTACTTTATATGATTGTAATTTTGTCTTTTGAGCGTTCAATAAGACTACAAGAGTTTATTTATGTTTAATAGAACATAATCATAGTATATAGAAAATGTAAATGAGACATTTTTCAAACAGAATATTAATTAATTAAAAAAAGGGTAATGGATTGGAAGAAACAGAAAAGAATGGTGAAAAAGAAGATCACATTGTTCTAGATATTCTAATCCTAGGTTTCTATTTAATAAGCAATAGCATAAAAGTATCACTAGATAACACATAATTATCATTATTTTATACATTGATGTGATCTTGATTTATATACTAAAACTCTAGATAATATTCGACGTACACTTCTAGTACACGGAAAGACACAACATCATTCAAGTCATTGAACTATATACTCCAGGTAATCATGTGATATGAGTGTGATACTTATGTGATAGGGATGTGATAATAACCGGTATAAATCACCTGGTAAAATTTTGGTGTAAACATGTGATTTGGTTGTGAAACTTATGTGATAGAGAAAATAAAAGGCAATTAAAAAGCAGTAATTAGTGAATCAAACTTGGTTGTTTTGGATTATCTGGTTTGGTTGTTGTTCAGCTGGTGATGATGAGGTCTTGAAAATGAAATCTTTAAAATCAAGAAAATATTTGGCAGCAGAAAACGCCATGGCAACAGAAATGAGTCCAAGCAGAATGATGAAGAAGATGGTTAAGGATATGTTGATGAAGTTGGAATGATGATGATGGAGTAATCCATGCATGGTGAACATGGCAACCAATGCTGATGTAAATGCAGCCACCATTGTTTTCCATATCATCCCGGGCATGTAATATGTCTATCCACGCTTCATTTATCTCTATTTTTCTTTCTTTTTTACCCCCTCATCAAATCAGATATCTCATATCTCTCTCTCTCTCTCTATGTATATATATAGAGAGAGAGAGAGAGAGAAAGAGAGATAGATAGATTTGAGGAGAAAGAAGGAATGTGTAGATTATAACAAGAAGGCTAAATGAAAGCTCATAATTAAAGCATATGTGTGTATGTATATATATATATATATATATCACTTGGTAAAATTTTGGTGTAATCATGTGATATGGGTGTGATACGTATGTGATAATCATGTGATATGGGTGTGATACGTATGTGATAGGGGTGTGATAGTTATGTGATAGGGGTATGATACTCACCGGTATACATCACTTGGTAAAATTTTGGTGTAATCATGTGATATGTGTGTGATAGGGGTGTGATACTTATGTGATAGGGGTGTGATAATCACCGGTATAAATCACTTGGTAAAATTTTGGAGTAATAATGTGATTTGGGTGATAATGATGTGATGGGGATGTGATAATCACCGGTATACATTAATCGGGTTAACGTTTTTGTTGATAAGTAAAAATTTTGGTATCAACATGTGATTTGGGTGTGATAATCATTGTTATACATTACTTGGCAATGATTAGGATTATCATTTTGGTGTTGTGTTGTTCATAAATTAAAATTTAGTTGTAATTGTTTCTAGACAAGTCCGATTATATATTCACAAAGTCAGCTAATATTCTTGACGATTAGTATTACTTATTTGAATTGTTATCACGTGATTTCCATTAAACAACAAATAAAATCACTTGTTTGCAATGTTTTAAATTATAATTAAATCAATATTTTGCACTAATTAATATATCATGCTTATCACACCATTAGTATTGTTTTGACTCTTTCATCACACTATTATTTTAGGGGTATAATAGCAATGCGGATGAGCTACAGGTTACAAAAAAACAAGAAGGAATCTAAATTTTCTAACACATCAGAAAACCCTGTTGATGTGGATGATGAAAGCAATGAAGTTGCGATATTGAACGTCGGTCAAGCAAAACAAAGGGCGACTGATTGTTCAACTAGAAGAGGTAACAATACTATTTTGTTTATTTAATGACAATGTGATTTGAAAACAATTGGTAAAAATGAATGACATGAATTGTACCATAACTATGTGTACGTCGCATATGCCATTGACTTCACAACTCATTGATTACTGCATTAGATGAACATGATACTATATTTCGTTACATGTATTACTGACTGTCATATACAAAGCATGTACAAAAACATGATATCTTAAATAAAAAGAAATACAATTTTTTATGCAAGAAAAATATGTAAAAGGCCACCAAAGGCAATGGAAGATTCTAAAGATGATGACGACTTTGAGATTCAAGACCAAAACATAAGGAAAAAGGTAAAAAGAGTCAAAGAAGATACTAAGGGAAGAGAAGACAATGGCAAATGTACGATCAAAACCCATCTTCCTCTTCGTACGAGAACATCACCTAAGCCCCTATATACAATGATTCAAAATTTATCCCCATCACAAATAGAGTGTGTAAAAGAAATGGGGTTTGAAGGCCTATTGAACATGAAGACAGACGGTATACCTGCAAAGCTTGGGTATTACGTAGTTGATTCGTTTGACTCTAAAAACATGATGATTAAACTCGAAAACGGTGTGATCCCAGTCACAGTTAAAAAAATACATGAGATGATTGGTGCACCAATTGGGGGAGCTCAATTGGATAGTTTAGTTAATGACAACTGCGGAGTAAGT